TGCTTCAGACGCCGTGGCACGCTGCGCTGCGGCGCGGCGCGGCGGGCGGGCAGAGAGTGCGAAACGCGCATTGGCGCCTACAAACCTAACAGGGATACTTCACGCATTGCGCAATGCGTGAAGTATCCCTGTTAGGTTTGTAGGCGCCAGTGCGTTGCCGCTCCGCTTTGTGTTAGGCTCTAATACTTAATCTCGCGGAGTCAGCGTTTTTCAACTCATGATTTTGAAATGTTAGCACACTCTGTATGGACTATTCTCATTTTAATTGATGAAAATAAAATATGTTTTAAAGGAAAATATAATGTGTGTTTTGTAAATAATAAAGTAGATCCGTATCAAACTTAATGATTTTCAAAGCACACGAATTCTACACAATTTCTTATAGCCTTTTATAGCCAATGGCGATAAAGTGTAAATCCCGGCGATAGGAACTATAGCCCGACTGTATACTTTTTCATAGCTTCGTATAGCCCGGCTATATGATTTGCTCCGCTTTCTACAGCCAGCTGTATGATTTTTAATAGCCTTCATTAGTCGGCTGTAAGAACTCCTATGGTATTTTGAAACGCAGCTCCTATCGCCAATTTTTACCAGGGCATTTTTCTTAACACGGATACCGCGCGCCTGGGGGTGGCGGGAAACGCATGGAAGGCGGTGCAGGAGAAATGACCTCTTAAGCGTCCCGTTCATCCGATCTTTTTAAAAAAGAAATAAAAACTTGGGCTTAAATGAAAGCCGATTGTGAGAGTATGCCGCATATGCACATTTGATTGAGTTGTTCCTACCTTTAATAGTTTTGAAATGAGAGCCAAACGCGCAAGACTTTTGGGATGACCCGCGTGATGTTAAGGATCTTCTTGTTTCTCTCTAAATCAAAATGTAAACCACATGGGACTTCCGAGGAAAAGGAGCCGTTTAAGAAACGAGTACCAGTATAGCAGTATACTCGTATGAATACGGCCCTTATTGTCTTTTGCTCACCTCGCGAGGCTACAGTAAGTAACTGATACAGACTCTCGTCTCGCCCGCATATCCTGTTTTCCTCCTCTTGAGCTGGCTCTTGAGTCTTGAACTCCCCGCTATCAGATCTCAGAGTCCTGTTTCAGCAATATTTCACACACGGGCCGTGTCTTGTGTACTCCCGTCCTAAGGAAAAACGCCGTATGAACATTCAAGAGTTGCCAAATTTCCCTTGGTAAAACATGTATTTCGACAACGTTCATGCATATTTGTCCTCAACATTTTCAGATATTTTGGATTAAATTGCGTACTAAATTGTCTGAAAATTTTTGGAAAAAATATTCACAATTTTTCCTGTAAATTCGGTTTTTATCGAAGGAAATCCGGCAACGTCTGAGAGCTCTTACGGCGTTCTTCTTTAGCACGGCAGTGTAGTGGTACGAGCTCTGCCGTGGTAGAACTCTCAGGAGTCTGAGGGCTCCAAGTGGAAACGCAGATGCCGTCGCCGTTTGGTGTGACAAAAAATTCACGCTCTCATCGATCGGCACGCCACGCGGGTTTAGATTTCTGCATTAAAATGCATGTAAAACAATCGATTTTTGGCGAGGCAAATTGTCTCACCTAAAATCGATATTTTCCACGGCTTTAAATGGAGATAAACAATGTGGAAAATCACCGCTGAGGATAGATAGTGCAGTCTCTCATGCTAAGGAAGAACGCCGTATGAGCCACCAAACTTTGCCGAATTTCTTTCTATGTAATTCAAAACTTCAGAGAAACTTAAAAATAATGTTTTTCGCTCGCAACTTTTTGGAGGATTTCATTCGCAGTTCAATCCGATTAAGTATAAAAAAAATTAAGAGCAAATTTCTATCAAAAATGAATGTTTCACACGGGGGAATCGAGCAACATACGGTTGTACGTCCGTCAGTTTTACTTGGAGCGGCAGTGCTCACGTCCGAGAAAACTTCTGTCCAGAAAAAGACGCTTCGACAGAGGCTATCGCGGCAAATCTCACTAGTTATTTTAAGGCAATTGGTATTTCTGAGAAGAGTAATGGCGACTTTTTACAACGCACGTTTAAATACAGTATGAAACTGAAAATCCCATCACTTAGGGGAAAAAGCCGAACCTAAAAGCTATATTTAAAATGGATTTAAATGACGGAGAAACAGCTAGTGTTGCCAATTTTCAAGATTCGCCACTTCCTGTCATTCATCGGAGCAATGGAGATGTGAGGAATTTGCAATTTGACTACTGATTCTCATGCAAAAGTTCGCGAGGGACACGATGATCCCACTCATTTTCTCTGAAATCAACTCCCAAGCTCAAAAACCGCTCTCAAAGTTGAGGCTGTAATGGAGGGTATATCCAACGCTATCCTGAGAGTCCACGTCTACACCAAAACAAACTCTCCGTGCAAAGATGGGGAGGATATACATTAGCAGGGTTGCCACTTTATTTGGGGACTCCAAAACTGAAAACACGGCAACCCTGCTAATGTATTTTCTCCCTATCTTTGCATAGAGAGTTTGTCGAGATGTAGAGGTGGACTCTCAGGATAGCCTGGGACATCCCCTCCATTACAGCCTCAACTTTGAGAGCGTTTTTTGAGCTTGGGAGTTGATTTCAGAGAAAATCAGTGGGACCATCGTGTCTCGCGAACTTTTACATAAGAATCAATACATAGTCAATTGGCAAATTCCCGCAGTTAGAGATGATGGCACGGGCGCATGCAATGAGCACTCACCATTCACCACACTGGCCTCCATTCGGAAGTAAATGAGGTGCTCCTAGTTTTCGTGGACCCGAGTATCCGTCCCGACGCGTCGTTTTGTTGTTGTTGTTGTTGTTGGCGGTGAACATTATGATGTTCCGCCGAGTGAAAGTCCGATTGTGTTTGCTCGGAAAAATGAGGAAGAAAGTCACCGCGAGAGGTATAAAAAACTCATGAGGCCGCGCGGAGCCACCGTTAAGTCACGGTCCAGGACACACCAGCGGTCGTCATCGCTGTCGTTGGCGGGAGACGAGCCGGGCGCAGCCTTATTTTTAAAATTCACAATGCCTTATTATTTCCCCATCAACATGCCAATTGCCGACCCTAAAATCCCGCTATTCTACAAGTGAAACACTCTACAAACCTCCGAACGCTGCCCAATTTCTTTAGATAAAATATGAATTTCTAGGCACATTTACAGTCAAACATTTTTCATAAGGGGCCCAAAAGTGAAAAAAAAAATCCCAAAAATGGCATATTTAGGAAAGTTTTTTTCAGTCATGAGGCTCCAGTCGCCTTGAAGCCTCTCCTCCCTCCCGCCAGGCAAGGCGACTTATTTTTACTTGCATAACTGTCTGCATTCTCGGAGGTCTGATGCCGAGACCCATCATGAGGACGTATTTCTGCCGAACGGAACTATGTGCATTAAGACATGAGCCCTGAGACCCATAAGAATATATGCATAACAAGGCTCACGTCATGATGCATATAGTTACGTTTGCCAGAAATACATCCATATGTTATATCTCTGCTGTCATGTCAATTACTTACGCCGGATAATTGTGATATTGTCGAGCAGTTGGTCCGGGAGTTCTATTCTGCTTCGGCCCATCGCCGATATTTTATACCTTCACTTCGGCCACTCGCGATTTCTATGGCTTTCGACGAGGACATACTTACACTGCCGTGGCTCAGGAAGAACGCCGTATGAACATCTGAGAGTTGTCCAATTTCCCGGCTTAATCGTGTATTTTTTAGGAAAGATATGCATATTTTCTCTTGAAATTTTTAGATCTATTAGAATAAATTGAGAACAACATTTTCTGCTCAATTTGAAAGAACAACTTCACAATTTCTCCGGTGAATTCGATTTTCGGTGAAGAAAATATGGCAACGTTTGGAGACTCATACGGCGCACAGTAGATCTAGTCAATTGGAGAGGTCGGACATGAACCGTCTGACAAAAATTGCAAAAATTGCGTCCGGGAAAGGACGGTATGAGACACGGATTCTCGTCAAATCTCACTTTACACTTTTGACTCCGTATCAGCGTGTACCATGGAAACGCTAAACTACGTAAAAGTGAATATGAAGGGAATGAAAGGCGTTTGAAATGGGAGTCTGCGACCGCCCGGTGACTGACTGTCTGTCTGTCTGTAATCATGAGTGCTGGATCTGGATCTCGATCGCGGAACGTTCGCCGCTACCGCGACGACGAGTCTCGTCGTGTTGTCGGTTGTCGGACAGCCTCGATCCCAAATCGGCGATTCATCGGCAATTTTAGCGTGTCAATGAACGGACAAAAAAGTGACACCTTCGCTTTGCACTCCCGTCACCGGTGAAACTCATCTCTCGTCCGTCACATCCCAACGGGTCACTGTACCCGATACTTCGCCGCGCCGCTCAGTGCATCCTTGTCCACTTTTTCTTCTGCGCCTCAGAGTAACTTGATAGAGAGACATAGAGTACATAGAGTCGTAATGTAAGTGGGTGAGCTGGCGCCACTTTTAAGCATTTTCCAGGTCCCGAATTCCGAGACTCCTGTTTGACGCCGGGTCACTTTTTCGATACATAATCGATTGTTTGCGATACACGGGTACCCGGCCATCCGATGTAAACAAAGAAGATAGGAAACACGACGTATTCCACTCCGCGCGCCATTTTGGATCGAACGTGTATCGAAAAAGTGACCCGAAGTCGGCGCACACCGGGCTCGGAACTCGTCGAGCAGAACATGGCGCCAGCTCTCCCATTTACATTACGACTCTATGTACTCTATGCAGAGAGACTATTCTGCCGTGCTAAGGAGAAACGCCGTATGAACCTCCAGGCGTTGCCAATTTTCCTTCGATAAAACGCCAATTTCCTGGTTAATTTATGAATATTTCCTCTCAATTTTTCAGATAATTTAGTTCGCAATTTTACGCAGCTTTTAATGAGCACGGCAGTATGATTGAACGGCCAAACGCCATCAAATTTATGCTCTCTCATGACGAGAATGAGGAAACGAGATTGTGAATGTTTTCTTTGTTTTTTTGTGCAGATGCCGCCGGGTCCGGTAGTGGGGCTGGACGGTAACCAGTATGCGTCGTACCCGGTGCTCCCGAAAGCCAAGGAGGAGATCCCGCTCTCGGAGCAGGCCGTGGAGCGGTTCCAGGAGAAGTACGATTACTCCTACGCCACGCAGCGGCGGCGCCTCTCTTCCACAGGATGCACCGACTCTAATAGCTCAAGCAGCGTCGACGGCAACGAACTCAGCGATCAGGAAAAGGCTCAGGTCGAGAGCTGCTTCAGAGGTCTCAAGACTCAGGTGAGTCACCAGCCAGATCAGCCGGCAGCCGGCTCCTTATCGGAATTCATAGACAAAGGGATAGACAAAAAAAAGACATGGGAAGTATGCAGCCATCCTATTGCTTCAAATGGATGGTTCTAGACTAAAGGAGAAAATGCTGGTCTGACTATATAGGATCCATCATGGGTTACCGTTAGTTAGTCTATTACCTACCTCCTTTGTCCATTGCAACCACCCAATTCCACCAATAGGATCCCTTCATAACCTTTATGTCTTCTTTGTCTATGGCTTTGTCAATCAATATCAACTCTCTGCCCTGGCAGTTGATGAAATGCCTGATTTGACTCTACGTCTGCAGCAGAGCGATCTTATCGGTGGAAGCAGGTGGTTGCAGTGGAATCTATAAATATTCATGCAGAAAAATTCCATCATTTGTCCTCTTGTTCTATGACAACCACCCGTTTCAAACAATAAGGATTGCTCCATTTTCCCCTAACATTATTTGTCTATAGCTTTGTCTATACATTTCACCAATACCCACAGCCCTTGTTCAACCACTGGTTTGTGGAAGGTATGTCTACGTTTCATTCCTCTAGATCTGAAATCTATCTTTGAGCAGACGGAGAAGCACGCAAGGCGAGAACGCAATACGACTACTTTTCTATCCACTCGTTAGAGTCTCCAAACTCGATTCCCCACACAAAATTTTCGATGTGTGAGCGTGATCTGTACGTAAACTGGAGTCTTAGTTGTGGCGTTCTTGGCTCCTTGCGCTGCAATGTTAAAGACGTACGCTACAAGGAGCTATTTACAACTTCATTCAATCAAAAGGAACTATAAAACACGAAAATCCTATGCGCATAGTTCCTCTTCATTTCGTTAGCGCATAGTTGCATTTAGCATGAACCTAAGACGAGAACGTAGAAGATATAGTGTGTACAAGGTTACCTTTATGTAAGGATTATTCTTAATCAATGGTGAAGTATTTTACTCTAGAAGTGAAAAATACTTGCCCGTTTAATGAAAAAAAATTAATAAATAAATAAGAAATTAAACAACTATAAAAATGTCAAATTTTCGATGCAAGCTGGGGCAGCTGGTCACCTCACATCCTTTCCCTCCAAATGGCACCCCTGCACCATTTCATATCATCACACTACGAGCCGTGGAGTCTTAACCTGAGACCCGAGAACTATACATCACCACGGTCGCCAAATGCTGTCTTTCTTGAAGCGTACAGAGGAGTACGCCTCATGAGCCATCTGGTAACTTGAGAGTACTTATCTTCCAATTTTTCCGAGAAATTTCATTTGTTTGTAAACTGAGCTAAAAACCCATTGCTTTCCTCAAAAATAAAAATGTTACCATGTTGAACTTGGCAACAATTGAATCAGTGAAAACGAAAACACGCCAACTCGGTAATTCGAAAATTCTTAATTATCATCGAAGACAGTCAATTTTACTGAAGGTCATTGAAGTTAGTGCATCTGTTACAACTTGGACTTTTAAAGGGCGTCCTTAAGTATTTGTCTTTCGGCACCAAAAATGTTTTTCTTAAACTAACTTGTTCGCTTACTGATGTGCAGTTTTGTGTGTCTTGATTTATTTTCATTTTTTCGAGTTGGTGTGTTTTTGTTCTCACTGATTCAATTAAATGTTCATACAGCGGAACGTCACGAAAAAGTATGAGAATTGAATGTTGAGTGTTTTTTTTTTTGAATAGGTGTTCGTGGCGAGTTCGCTGGCGAACCTGTACCTGGGCACGAACGGGGAGGACAGCAGTTGGAAGCTGAGCTACACGGGTATCCCGGTGGTGATTCTGGACACGGGAGAGGCCAAGTCCCGGACGAAGCGGCAAATGAGGATCCTGCTCGCCGAACGGGGCTCCTGCTTCACCCTCTGGCAGGACCTCATCGACAACCTCTCCTCCTACAAGGTCTCCGGCCCGGCCTTCCACACCATGTGCCTTTCCTCCGACCACAGCAAGCTCATCGGGTACGAAAAAACATAATAAGAATTAGGGGGGTACGCGCCCAAACCCTCGAAAGTCCTTTCGCGCCCTCTAAAGCCCGCTTTGCTGGCCCCCGTGAGTTAATCTAATACAGCGTCATCCGAGGTTAACCCTCCTGCAGGCTCATTATTGAAATAGACAGACGAAGCTATAGACATAGAAGACAAAAGGGATTTGGAGGGAATTTATTGGTGGAAGCGGGTGGTTGCAATTGACAAAGGAGGTAGGTAATCCACCAGAGACCCTATATAGTGAGTCCACCCCTTTAGTCTAAAAGAAGCACCTATTTCAACCAATAAGATCGCTTCATATTCCCTGTGTCCTCTTTGCCCATAGCTTTGTCTATCATTTTCAACAATGAGCCCGCAGACTGCAAAAGTGTGTTCCATGGATTAAATAAGACTTTTTTCTTTGTTGAAAATCTTTCCAAAAGTTCTTTTTATGGAGATCACAGCCACCCCCCGCCAAGCCGTGGAAAATAAATAGTTTTACCTGCATTTTGACAACGGTAATGCACCGAATCTCATGAAAATTGGCTGTATACTTTAAGACGCTGAGTTCATTCGTGGCGCAATAAAAAAAATCTCAGTCACAAGCATTAGATTTTAGGGGGTCCATAAGGAGGACGCCAAAGAATCAAGTTTTTAACTTTTTGAAGACTAGGATTCTCCGGAGTCATCTTTCTTTGCTACGTCCTACCCGTTTTCTCAAATATCTCTTGTGTTGAAAAACTACAGTTGAACGCCTTTCTGCTAGACGGAACTATAAGCGCGGCACAGAGGATCGAGTCAATTACAGAGGTCAGACACGAAATGTTTGACTAAAACTGCAAATTTTGATGTTTATTTCGTCACATTTTGAATTTTAAGGAGTGTTTCCAGAAGAAAATTTCACGAGAAAACCAATAGAACCACTTTTAGAACCTCAAAGTTTTGTATGAACGGATTTATAAGTGTCTAAAGTTTCCAAATTTTGTCCGACCTATCTTATTGAATCAATCCATTTTGCGCCGAGGGGGAAAAAGGAAGAGGGGTGCCTGACGAGCTCCGCCCGCACGCTCACACTGCTTTTCCATGGCACTTAGTTCCGTTTGACAGAACACGCTATCCAGAATTCTAAAATCCTCAAAAGGAACTGAAATTGGCGCATAGTTCTGATCATCAGAAATACGTCCAGTTGATATTTTAAAAGCTAGTCGACACTTTTCTACCGAAATTCTACCTCTCGTAAATTTTACTATAAAAAAATACCCAAAAAGAGTTTCCTAAAACGAACATAGTTGAATCAGTGAGAACGAAAACACACCAACTCGGTAACTCAAAAATGCTCAATTTTCATTAAAGATAGTCATTTCCATTAAGGTCATTGAAGTTAGCGCCTTTTTTCCAACTTGGACCTTTAAACTGTCTTTAAGTCATTGTCTTTCGGCACCAAACATCTTTTTCTTAGACTAACTTCTTCACCTTTTGTGCAGTTTTGTGTGTGTCTTGATTATTTTCATTTTTTCGAGTTGGTGTGTTTTCGTGCTCACTGATTCAGTCATTTCTGAGAGCTGTCTCTTGAAAAGTGACGAGATTTGGATTTCGATTTCAGGTTCAGCTTCGACTGCGCGCGGGCGGCGGAGCAGCTGTGGCGGCACATCGAGAAGCTGACCTCGAACCCCGAGAACATCAGCCTCTCGGTGCCGGGCGCGAAGCGGCGCAACAGCAAGAAGCTCAAGAAGCAGGTGAAAATTTGTGATAAGCTCCCGGAGAAGTGCAACATCTCGCAGCCGTGCTGCTTCCAGCACATCATCAACGTCAACCTGAGCGACAGGAGTCGCTACTTCTCCCTCAGGACGCTCATGCCCACCGAAAGCCTCACCCCCCACCCCCACCCGTCCAACCACTCCTCTAGTCCAGAGCTCAGCTCAGATTCCGAGCTCCCCACCCAAGTCTAGCGCACTCGCAGAAGACACGCCACACTCGGAGAAAACTGGACGTATTTCTATCAAACAGAACTATGTGCAGGTGAGAAATATGGGGTTCACTGGAAAAAAAAAACACATTGGATCTAGAGTCCAGACTTTTAAAAACATCGACAAGAAAAAATAGTCTTGATTCAATCGGATTTTTGCTTAGATCAAGAACCAAGCCTCTTAATTTGAGCGGATTTCCTTTCGATTTAAGCAAAAATCTGATTGAATCAAGAGTATTTTTTCTTGTCAATGTTTTCAAGAGTCTGGGTTCTAGATCCAATGTGGTTTTTTTCCAGTGTGTGCTCTAGAAATCTGGATGAGAAACATGTGGTCAGTGGACGTGATTCCTTTTAAGAATTGGAAAAGCGGGATTTTAAATTGAGCAAAGAGAATTATGTGCCAACTGAATGCAGGATTCATGAGCCGCGGGCATGGTAAGAGAGCGTTGTGGACAGGGCTCATGAGTTAAAGCGCCCCGACGACCATCTTGCCCTCGCGCTCGATCACTGCCGCTGACGTCACTGGCGCTTTACTGTCCTCATTCATTCTCACGGCCAGAGAACTAACGAGCGCACCCCATATTTCTCACCTCCACATAAATCTCTTCGATAGAAATACGTCCAACTATGATTACTCTGTTAAAAATTTCGAGCGATGAGTTCGAGGATATGGATTCCATCGACGTGAATCGATCGGAAAATCAAAACGTGAACACATATGCATAAGCGGATCCAGACACCTCGATGGGGCAGAATGGGGGTCTGTGGAACATCAACAAGCATTTAATATGCATCAAGTAATTCGATTTAATTGTCGATTTAAAAGTCGATTTAATATGCAAAATCAGTCGAGTCGATTTAGTCATGAATGCGTACCTACCAAATAGGAGCGTCCTTCCTTCTCCTCTCCTCGGCTCCTCCCTTCCCACAGCTCTGGATCCACCTCCGACCGATCGACAGCGATTCGATCGGCAATTGAGCGTATGTCTGCCAAACGGAACTGTGTGCAGAAAGACATGAGCCCTGAGATCCGTGAGAATACATCCATAACAGGGCTCATGTCATAATGCACATAGTTCCGTTTGGCAAAAATACGTCCAATTTATTAAAGAACCGATGTCGATTCGATGGAAAAACTATCACTTGAACCGATATCGCCGCGATTCGATCGACGGCCAAGTGAGAAAACTCAGTATCGATTGAATCGACATTAATCGATCGAAAAATGAAAGCGTGAACCGATCAACATCGATTCAATCGACAAAATTTGGTCTAAGCCATGTTGTAAAACGATTCACAGGCTTGTCGATCGCAATCGATTCCATACCCTCGCATGTGTTTAGGCGGTGCCTTACTAGTTTTGCCGCTTTTGACCGTACGAAAATCGCCTTTAGTAATAGTGAGGTTTTAGTATTCAGGACCGATTGCCGTGTTGACAGCCGCTCCTTAATTAGCTCCCTAGAAGTACAGAATATTCCCTATCCGGCGCTTGCGGGTCGCGGGCTGACTATTTACACTTTAAAACGTGGTGTGCACTCCCGTAAGCGCAGTAGGTATAGGCAGTATGCGCATCGGAACAGTGTGCGACAGTGTAGCGTTGGAAGTATGTCTAGGATGTTGAAGGCGCTATATAATGCGCACAGGCGCCGTTTATTGTGTTTACGGGAATGCGAATTTTCTGGCGTCAGCTTTCCGAATTGCATTCCTTTTTGCTGAAAACTCTAAAATTGTTTTGATTATGATAGAAACGTATATATTTGTGCAGTTGCGCTAATGTATTGTTGATATTATCCTGACTGCGCTGATAGTTTTTGTCAAAATTACCTCTATCACACAAATTTCCTGTTGAAATTCCTCGACCGCACCATGTAATAGTGCGTAGGGAAAAATGGAGTTTTGCCGGTGAAATCGTACATTGAGCAATTTTTGGGACCCATGCTCCTTTCCTTACGCGGCCCCATTATGGCATACACGGTGAATAAAGGTCACACTCTTGATGGTTCTTCAAACATAAGGCTTGTCATTGGTTAAGGATCCCTCCACCAATGTATAATTCAATTCTCATGACTTAAAGAAGTCTTAATGATTAAGAAATGGACGTATTTCTGTCGAACGGAACTATGTGCATTAAGACATGAGCCCTGAGACCCATCAGAGTATATGCATAATAGGGCTCACGTCACAATGCATATAGTTCCGTTTGGCAGAAACATGTCCAAATAACTGGGAACACGAGGTTTAAAGAGATCCTTAACGTGGCTTCATAAAAAGGACAATTTTCCTGAAACTAGAGTAAATTTCTGAAAGTGTGACTTGGGGAGTAGATTTCTGTTAGTATGGTTAGTATGATTTGCCTCCGAAAAAAAAAAAAAATTCATTTGTGTTTTTAAGTTTTTGTGGAGGCAAATCATTGAAACCTAGCAAGGATCTGTTCCCAAAGTTTCACTACTTAATTTCACTCGAAATTTGTTGTAATCGTCCTGTTAAATATAATGTTAATTATAATGTTATTTTAAGGATGTCTCATTTCACCTCCCATAATCACAATGTTAACCATCTAAGTATACTCAAAGTTTCACTACTGAATTTCACCCCAAATTTATTGTAATCGTCCTGTTTATAATGTTATTTTAAGGATGTCTCCTTTTACCTCCCATAATAACAATGTAAACCATCTGAAGCTTCCCAAGAAAAGGAGCTGTTTAAGGAACGATTCTGAATAAGTACGGTCCCAAGAATAATTTTTCGAACTTGTGTGAGTAGTCACAACGTAAGACGTTGAGGCGCCCTCATCTCCTCCAATCAATTATTGTTTTTATGAATATTTTGTGAATATGTACATTCCATTTTTAAATGCTACCTGTCATTCCTTTCGAACCGTTTTTGTGTTTTTTCATTTTCAACTTTTGTCAGGTATCTAGCTGCGTTACTTGAAATTATTGATTTCTCCTGTTTGATTACGCTTTTAGAATAAGCTTGCTTGTGAAATCATCAATAATATACTTATCTGTTGCTCTGGAGCACCAACCGAAAGTTCGATTACCCACTAAGGTATACTATGAATCGGTCATAAAAAGAAACCGTTCATTCCTGTTTATCGATAGGTAAACAGCTGGATAGCGTAGGCATGTGGGATATTGGGTGCTGAATGAATTCATCCTACATTGATCCGAGGATTCAAATCCCTTGAGTTTTTTTTTATTTTTGAACGACCTAATTTTGTGGTAGGTATTCTTAACTCGATTCCTAAGGATGAATCACATTTCTCTACATTTACAATATCTCTCTTTTTCAATTCACAGTCATGGATTTATTTTTTAGTTTTTGTAAGTGAATGTACATATTGTTCATTTGTACCATTTAATTTTAAATAGAGTGTAATATACGATTATCAAGTTCACATATTGTTTGTATTTTCTCCTCGAATTTTAACGATCGAGAGAGCACAAGAACTGCCATATTGAATACCTGCGTAAATTATTTTAGTAGAAAAATTTGATTAAATTTAACCTGGAGCAGAGGTGAGCATCGATCGGCATGTGATAATTGTGATGATAATAATAGTAATAATCATTATCATCATCTTTAGGAAGGGAACCAGAGCCATGATTCGAACGATGAACCGCATGATAAAGCCTCATCTCCTCTACGGTAAGGAGGGAGACGCCTCGGGATCAATTGTACTACATTTTGCAATTAGGAACTATAAATTCCGGCCCGGTTTAAAAACAACGCATGTGCTATAGTTTCCCTTTGCTTATACGTGTTTTTTTCAGATGAGACAGAATTTATAGCTCCAAATTGCAAAATGAAGTCCAATTGGAAGTCAGGCACCCACTTTCTTCCCCGGTCCCCGGCCCTGGGGCTGAAGTACCCGTCGGGGCCCTATTTTTGCAGGACTCATAAGGAGGCTCTGGATGGCCACCTCTTAGCTTGAGGAAGGTTCAGGGGCCACCCTCATACATTTTTTGTCAATTTTCCCGACAACCTGTGTAATCTTACGAATTTTTTCGATAATAATCTCTTGATAGCAGACAGAGAACATCTCCAGCAACACATGCAGCTAACTCAAAACTGTAAAAAATCGAGATACGCACTTTTGCAGTCTCACCATCGAATTTCCTTAATTGGTGGATCTAAATGACTTTTCATCAGTAGCGAGGCGTACTTTGCAATGTATCGATTGATCTGCCATTTAAACCTAAAAGGATCGATAAGTAAGGTGTTCGCAACAAACACGAACACCTAAATAATCGATTCTTTACAAATAGCTTCAAATGGGGAGGTACCGATAGTGGATCATTCACGCATCACCACTGCTTTTCATCACCATCATGCCGATCAATTATTCAAAGATAAAGTAAACGATCTCACCATGCATTTTCCTGGCATCCAACCCCTTGAAGCATTACTTCAGAAAGTTTACCATAAGTTTCATCCGTCCTCGGTACCTAGAATTGTGAACAGGGAAAATGCAAACTAGTTTGTAATTTACCACTCGTTCATTCACAGACATGAGCTCACCATGGCCCTAGATCCCACTAGAAACATTCCAGAAGAGATTTGCCGTTATGGAACCCCGATTTTCCACGATAGTCTCAATGTTTTCATATGAAACTGTACTTAACACCAAGTTTGTAAGGCTCTTTCTTATTGTGCAGAATGTGCAAATTCCTCAAAAAACTGTCTAAATAGGGGCAAAAATCATGTACTTGTAATTTCCACCAAAAAAGTCAGTCAGAGGGCAACGATAGGATCACGCGAATGGCCCCTTTTTTACCTTTTTGGAAATGCACAGGATAGGATTGCGCAAATTTTTCTGGTACTGAAAATTCACATGTTTGCGCTAATATTTAATTTTCAACGAGGAAGCGTTAATCTGGCAACCTTGGTAGTTTGTGGTAGATAACTACATCGTGGAAGACTGTTCATTCCCTCCATAGAGAAAAAAAGGAGGTGTTTGCATTTCGGGCATCTTGGAATTTGTTGATGACTTGATGACGTAGGTGGGTACAGCGTGAAGGGGACGTCGCTGTACCCAACCGTACCCACCTACGTCATCAAGTCATCAAAAAATTCCAAGATGCCCGAAATGCAAACACCTCCTTTTTTTTTCTCTATGCATACCCTCCTCACTTACGAGCATGTCTCTCTTCGACGGATAACCCTCGCAGCACGAATGGCCCAAAGAGCTTGCGTAGACATGTGAAAGTGAACCAGGAGCCTGTGGCTGATACGCGGCCGCCAATCACTGAAAAAAATTACACGTAAAAATCGGAGAACAACTATGTTCAAGTATTTTAAGAGATGAATGGATTTAAAACCCGGCGGGTGCACCCGAAAGAAAGCGTATATTTATCTCTGATTGCAATGTTATGCACCACTTTTATGTTTTATTTATAGAAAATGTTTTTAAAAAACTACAAACAGTTTTTCTGAAAAGTTTCCGCAGATGTACATAAATGATCTCAAAATATCGAAAATGTCGACGCAATATTTTCGTTTGTTCTCTTTACTTTCAATGTAACCAAAAGAAAATTAAATATCATCCGAGTTTCTAAATCGTTATAATACGGATATATATATTTTCCCTTTAATTAGGTGAAAACTGGAGCAGAAAGTCAATAATGATGACACACAGTCCTACAGCATTCCTACAGTCTTGTAGACGCTAATATGCGTTTCACACAATATGACCCACTGCACTGCGTTTGGCGCAATGCGAGAAGTATTCGTGCAGTCTTGTAGGCGCCAATTTGGGCCTTACCCCGATCGCACTGTTTGGCGCAATGTGTGAAGTGTTCATGCAGCCTTGCAGGCGCTAATATACGTTTAACGCCGGCCGCACTGGGTTTGGCGCGATTATTCGAACTCGCGTCAGAATAATCGCTGCATTCGCGGCATCGAATAATAGAGCTGAAAAGGCCCATTTTACGTTTCCACGTTTATGAGCATTCCAAAGTTGCCTCGTTTCTCCCAATTAATTATTTTTTCCGAGAAAAGTTAGGAGAGTTCTTTATACCCACGACCATTATTCAATCTTTTCACTTCATTTATTATCAGAATATGTAAGACATCGATGAAATTCCAAAAAACTAACCTACACTAGCGTTAACATAAAAATGCTTACCAACTATTTCCTGTTTTGCCAAACTTCTACTTTAAAGTAACTTCATTTTTTTGCGCATTCCTGTCGCAGATGTTAAGGTTTCTATTCGCGCAATCCTCATGTATTTTCTTAGACCTTTCGCACAATCCTGGAGTACCGCAGCAGAGAACCTTGGTGGAAAACGCAGAATAGAGGACTTAAAATGAGGTTCCCTAATTTTAAAACTATAGCTCCCGCTACAATTTTGAAACTTCCTCTGTCTAAATAAAATTTTAACAAGAAATTCAAAATTTGCCCATTCTTGTCGAAAGTACTGCCCCTACAGGTGGAGGACAGAGCAAAGCCCCTCCCCAGATTTTAGTGGTATAATGAATAATTGAAAAGAAGCAAACATTCTTAAAATAAATATTTAATGCACTTCCAAAAGATTATAAGCTAAAATATACATGCCGCCTACCTACAAAACATACGTAATATGTTAAATGAATCAAATTCAATTATCACAAAGTACTTATAACATATAAAACGACGCCCTATCTCATCGCCCTCCTGACATAAGGGCTTAACTACTCTTTGCAATGAGCCCCGTCCTCCATTTAACTCAATGCTCAATAAAGCCCATTTCAAAATGAAAATACGCCCTTTTGTCTGCCGAGTGGCGATTTTGCAAGTTGGCAACGCTGCTTTCCTTCATTTAGATCCATCAAAAATATCAATTTTAAGGCAAGCTGCCTCACCCAGAATCGATTGATTTACGCACATTTAAACGAAGTCAGTGGCGAGGCGTGAACAATCGATTATAGATATTTCCCCATTTGAAGCTATAGTAAAGAATCGAATATTGAGGTGTTCGTCACAAACGCCCTGCTTATAGATTCTTTTCCATAGGTTTAAATGGAAGATTAATCGATATATCGCAAATCACGCCACGCCATTGAATCGAAGGAAATACAGTGTTGCCAGCTTTCAAGAGTCGCTGCTGTAGCCGAGCCCCGAGCGACGATTTTAATCGAGTTTCCTATGTCTCAACTTAACCTTATTATATAGTTATTTTTTCTCTTTATAAATTGTTTTTCCTTTTTACTAAACTAACCAGCTAAAACAGACTGGAAATTTGAGTCTCTAGTTTCAGGATTAATTTTCAAATATGATATTGGATTTATTTAAAATGTGCGCAGTACAATCTTAGATCATCTTTTGAGCAAGCGTTGTAACAGCATTCCTCCACAATCCCACGACGACGTCTCCGGAAGTTCTCGTCATTGATGGTAGAGAGCGCCTTGGCCTTGTTAAAGATTTGGAACTCGTTCGGGTAGAACTGTCCAAATAAAGCCCCCGGATAGTCCAACTCCCTTAGATTCAATCTCGTGTCAGTTTCATCGCCTAGAGATTGATACTCTGTGTGCAGAAAATATAGACCGATCGCCTTATTATATCATTTCTGGAAAGCATACATCAAAACGCTGTTTCTCTGAATTGCTGCATTCATTCTCTCAATTTCACCTGAAATACACTTCCCTTATGTGAACGTAAAATTTTCAGGGCGATTTTTAAAAAAAAATTAATTCGTTTTCAAAAGTTGACGTGCACGTGAGCGAAATTTTTTATTTTCAATTTTAACCTTTTAAGTTCGTGCGCGGGTTTTTAGCTCTTATACTTTTTTTCAACTGACACGAGCCAGTTCATTCTTCCATCCTCTACAGTAGTGTTATAATAACTCCCCCCAAAATCTTAAAAGTCACAGTAACTTAGAAAATAATTACAACTTATAGTTAGAAAGCTTAAAAACACGAATCCGTGAAAATCAACAGATAAGACGATCAAAATCCAGGCCAGTCCTGATGACAAGCAATCAAACTGTCACTTTCTACGAGGTGTGTTTAGCTCGTCGTGGGTTCCACCCGACATAGCACGACAAAGCAGCAATAAGACATTGCCGACCAATCACGCTCCGCCTTTTAACCTGTGTCATCTACGTCTACCTGACAAACACAAATTTCAACCATCAGGCTGCAGGGTTTAGACAACAACAACTATTGGCTCCAATGAACTGTTCTATGGTGTTTTTTTTGTTTTTTTTTTCTTTGTAAATTTTCCCTTGGAGTTAGGTGCAAAATTTATGCAAAATGTGTGTAAGGTCCCATCTCCATACTGCCGTGCTAAGGAAGAACGCCTTATGAACATTCGAGAGTTGCCAAATTTTCTTTGATAAAGCATGTATTTTTTATAATATTCATGCATATTTTTCCTTGAAATTTTCAGATATTTTAGATTAAATTGTAAACAAAATTTAATGAACATTTTGGAAAATAGTATCCACAATTTTCCCAATAAATTCGGTTTTTATCGGAGGAAATTTGGCAACGTCTGAAGGTTCATACGGCGTTATTCCTTAGCCCGGCAGTATTGAGCCTTGTGAGGAATTTGGATGATAGGCGTACGTGTTGACTAACCATTGTCTAGTTTCTGCAGGGTCCGCTTGGAAAGGGCTCCTCGGCAAACCATCATGAGCATCTCGGCCATCCGTTTGCCGCAGTAGCGGGCTGCCCCGGAGCGCGCGTCCCTGGCGAACTGGTGCTGTCCTCGCGCGATTCGCCCGTCGATCAGGATCAACGTCACAAAAGACGTCACGATCAAAAGTAGCATGGGTTTCTGATTCCGCATCTGAAAAGGTGTATGAGTATGCTCGCCATTAACATGAATTAGTGGCCATTTTCCAAGTTGATAACACTGCTATACTGCCATGCTAAGGAAGAACGCCGTATGAACATTCGAAAGTTGCCAATTTCCCCAAGATGGAACATATCTTTTTAAGGAAAGTCATGCGTTTTTTTGCTTGATATTTTCAGATAATTTAGATTACATTGCGAGCAAAATTTTCTGAAAAATTTTAAAAAAAATTTGCAAAATTTTTCAAGAAAAATAAGGTTTTATTGAGGGAAATATGGCAACGTCTGGAGGCCCATACGGCGTTCTTCCTTAGCACGGCAGTGTACCTCCATTTAAATCCATGAAAAATATCTATTCTAAGTGAGGCACCTGACTCACCAGGAATCGATTACTTTAAATACATTCAAATGGAGGGAAAACAGTGTGACTAACTTGCAAACTTGCTCCTGCACGTTGAGCCCGGTCCTTATTTCACACATCTTTGATTTCTTCAACAAAAAATCGACGGCCGAAGTCGAAAAATGCGTATTTTAGATTATGACGTCGTCAGTTCCCGCTCGTAGTTTATCAGCGGGTAGATTAATCTATATCGAATGACCTTGATCGATAAAAAGCTTTGCCAAGATAGGGATTTATCGATCGAGTTCATTCGATAACGATTCAACAATCGACCCGCAGCTCAGAGTATCTATTGAATTTTTCTATACATTTTTCTCACTCTTATTGTTTAAAAAAAAAAAAAAATTGCAAGGTCTCTCTTGAAGAATCAAAACTTAACCGGAGTTATTTAAACTTCGCAACTTTTTTTTTTTTTTTTTTTTTTTTTTTTTTTTGATGAGGGGAAAAATTCGCTACAGTGCCCCCATCATGAGGGTCGCCAAGACGCCCCTCATGAAAAGGGCCCACCGAATACCGGGACGGCAACGACCATCAGCTGGTGAAGAGCCGCCGAAGCGACCCCTAACCGACCCGACCGCTGTGAGATGGGAAGACCCGGTTATGTAGGGTTGAAGCACGCCGCTGTGTTCCGTACCCACTAAACGACCCCTCCAGGCCACACCCCGTGCAAGTGTGGCCCATCGGACGCTCTATCCTCCCGTCGGACGTCCCTAAGGCACTCTTCGAACGGCAGTCCCCGACCCCGGCCCCGGTTTAGCCGGCGCCCCTCAGGCCCCCCCACTTAAGGGAGGGTCCCCCCATCCCCCGGGACCGATCTGCCGGAGCCATCATTGTACCCGGAGTCAAGGGCGTAGGAGGAGAGCCTAGGCCCAGCTTGCGCCAAACCCTGCGACAACCCCACGGCAGGGCTCTGGAGCCGAGAACTGGAGGGCAGGGAGGGCAGACCAGCTACGTCTCGCTCAGCCCTCGAGGCACCCGATCTTATGCGGCCCAGAAGGGGGCAGCCTACACATGACTCAGCTCCGCGGGTGCGTCGAACCCGATATCCCCAATTGGATAGCTTGCGGTAAAACTTCGCAACTTAGATACAGGTACTTTTATCTGCTTTTTCCAAATTTAAAAAATAAAAATGAAGTATGAGTTGTTTATGAAACATTCTTAAACACCGCAGTTGAAATCCGTGGTTTGGTAGTTCCACCATGGATATCCTTCAAAATCTAATGTCTACAATAAGTTTCAATGTTTTTTTTTTTTTTTTTTTTTTTTTTTTTTTTTTTTTTTTTTTTTTTTTTTTTTTTTATTTCTGTCTTTCTTTTTCATGGTCAAATGTGAAAAATCTGTATCTAAACTTCGCAACTTAGATACAGATTTTTCACATTTGACCATGAAAAAGAAAGACAGAAATGAAAAAAAAAAAAAAAAAAACATTGAAACTTATTGTAGACATTAGATTTTGAAGGATATCCATGGTGGAACTACCAAACCACGGATTTCAACTGCGGTGTTTAAGAATGTTTCATAAACAACTCATACTTCATTTTTATTTTTTAAATTTGGAAAAAGCAGATAAAAGTACCTATACAATTCAGGAGGGAGCCTCACTTTCATTGATTAAATTGAGTGACTGCAAGATTTTTCTCCCCATTACTTTTAAGTATTAGTTTTATGTTTTGTTAGGTTTGTACTTATATTTTGAAACTTTGCTCACTTGATCACATTTCACGGGGAAAAGCATTGATTTATAAAAGGCCCCCTGATTCGTAACTTTTAAGAAAATGTATCTTTTGATGGTAAGAAATATCCTGAGGTTTTCATGATTTTCACTCAAGTCCTTCATATGATGGACCATCGGACGAATTAAAAATTAAATCACGGTGACTGTTTCCGCAATAAAGTGTCACGCAAGACACGTTTGCCATGATCAAAAAGTCCAAAATCAACTTATATCTAAAAGGTATTGTTTGTAATTTACACCGAAAACAGACAATTCAAACTTCCTGCTTGCAAAAAACCCAAACATTGACGCAGGCCAAATCTGTCCTCTGAAACGAACTTATCAAATGCGATGGTGCGGCATGTAACTAGAGTTTATTTCGACACACATTTTCTTGAGCCTCTAAATTTTCGTGATCACTTCAATACGAGGAAAAAATGTTAACATCGCAAAAACCCCAAAATAAATTTTGCGACTCAAACAGACTTTGGTTTACTGGCAAGCGGGAAATTTGAATTGAGAATAAAGTAAACTTAATCCTCCGATTGAATTGGCTCATGAGAAAAACCGCTAATGTACATTTTTCATCTTGAAAGTTTATTATTATAACTCCTCAATGGTGCGTTTGAGTGGTGCGTTTTTATGGATGTCAGCTTTTAGACATTATTTTATGCCTCGATCAAGAAGTTTGTGCAGTTTCGGCGATTTTCTAACAAATAAAATAAATGAACGTAAGCTTTACTTCCGCCCAAGCTGATTCAATTATAAATTGATTTTGAAATATTTGACGGTGTTTTGCGTGAAATTTCGATTGAAGTACATCTACTACGGTGACTTTTGAATCAAATTTTTCCAGCGATTAACAAATAAAAAAATGGGGTCAAAATAGTCACACCATAACACACGTTTTATTTCGGAATGTATATTATTTATTTTTTTTTAGTCTTAGAATGCATCTAAGCACAGTGCTCCTGAAGGAGGTTTAACTCGAACCCTACCTCCAGTTCTCTACCACCAGTTCTTCCGAAACCAGCCTATTGGAAATTTCGTGCACTATTCATCCGGGTACACGCCTGGTTAGTGTCGCTAGCTATCGGCTGAGACTTTGAGCGCTGGATTGGTTTCACCGATGATCGTTTGCGGTGTTTCTTGTTGACTGTGGTATCAAAATTTCTGCCATAACAGAATTCTCGCTTTTAAAGGTACAGCCAGGAACTATTCATTTTTCGTTTTACTATTTTATCCAACTGAGGAAGGCTGAGTTTTCAGCCGAAACGTTTTGGTTTTATTCGAGAAATTTTAGCCTTCTTACCCCCTTTTTAAATTGTTTTTTTATTGTATATCTTGTCACGGGATGCGGAGCGCCTATCATATCTCATTTAACTCGAAGTTGGTCGTGACCTAAATATTTCAGCTGGAATGTCAAGAGAAGCACTTCCAAATACTTTAAACCACAATGGACCACTAGACAAGGTACGAATTTAAGCGATCTGATACATGTTTCTTACCAGAATTTCACGTAGAAAACGATTCACACAACGAAAATTACGGAAACCAACTCCTAACGAAGATATTAACGTTTTTATTTCACATTGGTTACGAGGAATTTGAACTGCCCGCTCATAAGAAACTCAAAGCTCTACGTGAGTCAAATCGCCCACTACAACGGTTTCAGCAAGCTTCTCAATCGATCAATGTTCATTTCCCATCATGTGTTGTTCAAACTATCAGCAATGTGCTATAGCTGAGCCAAAGCGTCAAGATTGAGGTTGCCAGATTTTTATATCGCAGAGACTGTCATGATAACGTTTAGCGGGCGATGTGAATCGCGTAGAGCATTGAGTTTTCATGAGCGGGTGGTTTGAATTCACGCATTAAGAATCATTAAATATCTTCGTAAGGAGTTAATTTCGGTAATTTTCGTTGTCTGCATCGTGTTTTACGTAAAATTTTGGTGAAGAAACATGTATCAGAATGCTGAAATCCGTACCTTGTCTAGTGGTCCATTTCGAAATCGGTTGTCGGAGCTCCTGGAGAGATAATCGCAATTTTATGGTTATTCTATGCTTTTTTCGGGAAATAGGCTCATGCAGGGACACTAAATTCCCCTCCTGCCGCATTTCCCTGGTACACATTGGCGATAGAAGCTGCGTTTCAAAATACCATGGGAGTTCTCATAGCCGACTGAAGAGGGCGATAGAAAATCATATAGCTGGCTGTAGAAAGTGGAAAAAAGCATACGGCCAGGCTACACGAAGCGTTAAAAAATTATACAGCCGGGCTATAGTTCCTATCGCCGGGCTTTTCACTTTATCGCCTGGCTGTTGTTTTTTCGCCATCGGCTATAAAAGGCTCTAAGAGATTGTGTAGAAATTCTTGTGCTTTGTAAATCCTTAAGTTTGTACGGAATCACCTTAATATTTACAAAACACACGTTATATTTTCCTTCACTACATGTTTTTTTCATCAATTAAAACGAGAATAATCCATACAGAGTGTGCAAACATTCAAAGTCATGAGTTGAAAAACGCTGACTCCGCGAGATTAAATATTAGAGCCTAACACAAAGCGGAGCGGCGCGGCGGAGCACTGACTCCTACAAACCTAACAGGGATACTTCACGCATTGCGCAATGCGTGAAGTATCCCTGTTAGGTTTGAAGGCGCCAATGCACGTTGAGCGCTGGCTGCCCGCCCGCCGTGCCGCGCCGCAGCGTACCGCGGCGCTTGAAGCAACTTTTTCACACCAGAGGTATTGCACAGTATCATACGAAACTGAAGGCGCTCCAACATATTAGGAATGGCAGGCATCCTTCAAAAGTACGGAGCTTTCCTCGCAAATTAAATCAAGATACTGCGGCCCAAAAAGAGAGCGGTAGTCCAAAAACTCACTAAGTCCTAGCATCCGTAATTAGTAACGTTTAGCACACGCTTTATCGCCAGGCTGTTGCTTAGTCGCCATCGGCTATAAAAGGCTATAAGAAATTGTATAGACGGCTATAGAAGCTATTGGAAATCTTACAGCCGGCTGTAGGTCTATGGTATTTTGGAACACAGATTCTACTGCCAATTTTTACCAGGGTTCTTCTTGCATTGATCTGAATTTTTAGTATGTCATTTTCTGGTATGAAAGACGACTTTCCTGAAATTTTAATGACCGAGAAAATTTTTTTGCTCCCGTTACAACTTTGCAAAATTTCAAATTTCAAAATTATGGATTTTGCGGGGAAAAATTTGACACTGACCCCCTGCTTCTTGGATTGGTCTGAATCTTGAGTAGGTTAAACTTCAATATGCGGTAAAAATCTCCTGAAATTTTCATGACCGGAAATTTTTTTTACTCCCGTTTCGACGTTGCCAAGTTTTGAACTTTAAAATTATGGATTCGACCATCAAATGATGGCGTTCGGGCGGGATACCTTGCAGAACTTTATTTAAGATGATTCGTCAAGCTCAAGTGACGGGGTCGAAATGATATGCGATACATCGCATCGATTAGGTCAAAAATCTCGGCAGATTTTGAATTTTTAGTAAAAAAAAAAAAAAAAAGGACGATAGCCCCTGCGCATAACCTTAAAGAATCATTCTAAACCCAAAAATCGGCAAAATTCAGTGAAATGAAAGCAGGATAGTGTTTTGAAAAAAAACCTCGCATTCGATTCAGCAATTTATCTAATCGATGAGATATATCACATACCAGTTCAACCACGTCACTTGAGCTTGACGAATCACCTTAAATAAAGAAAGTTCTGCAAGGTATCCCGCCCAAACGCCATCATATTATGGTCAAATCCGCAAAACACGTATTGGCGCCTACAAACCTAACAGGGATACTTCAAGCATTACGCAATGCGTGAAGTATCCCTGTAGGTTTGTAGGCGCCAAAACGTGTTTTGCGCTGGCAGCACGCCGAGCCATTTCACAGCGCTTCAAGCAACGATTTCACAACAGAGGTATTGCACGGTATCTTACGAAATTGTAGGCGCTCCAACATATTAAGAATGACAGGCATCCTTTTAGAGTTTGTGGTATTCGCCCTGAATTTGATTGCCCTACATGAGCTCATTTCCCGAGGAAAGCATAGAAAAACCATAAAATCGCGATTATTTATCCACGAGCTTCAACAACCGATTTCGAAATTGTGGTTTTTAGTATCTGGGAGTGCCCTTCTTGACATTCAAGCTCAAATTTTTAGGTCACGACCAATTTCGAGTTAAACCCCTCCTAGGAGCACTGTGCCGGGCTATGAACTACCCATCCTTAGGAAATAAAATAAAATCGACATATATGACACAACATAATTGCAGTTCTAAGAAAATATCACAATTTATATTCAGAGGACCTTAAAAGAAGAAAAAGAAGGAAACGAAAAACCAAAAAAATATTTCTATGAATGAACAGCCAGTAAGTAACAGAAAGTAAAAAGATTATAACTATAAAGAAGCAAATCAAAGAGAGTGACTTACCAAGCAGCCAAAGTATAAAAGAAACTAAGCCCCTTGTGAGTAAAATATACCACCCGATATACAAAGAATACTAAACGAGTACAATGAAAAAATAAACTAAATTCGTCCTAAAACAAAAAAACGTGCTATGATTTGAAAATGTTCACCCTATTGAAGATGCAACTTCCAAACCACGTATCCTGTTGGTGGTGTTTAGAAATCTCCTCTCCTGTTTTTATATTTTTAAAGAATAAAAAAGCAACATCATCCTGGAAGTTGTCTAAGAGTTTTTTTTCGCCCAGAGCGAAAAAATAACGGAAGTTTTTAAAAATTGACATTGGGTAGCTCTGCGTTTAAAAAATAAAGTACGATAGTAAGTCCGGAACGTCGCAAATAGAGGTACGTGGTTTGGGAGTTTCATCTTCGAGATGTTAGCTTATGGACATTACTTAACGCCTCGATCAAGAAGTTCGTGCAGTTTTGGCGATGTTCTAAAAATAAAAATAAAAAAATAGTAGACCTAAGCTATTATTTTACAAACCGATTCATATTTTAGAGTGTTCTACTTGAAATTTTGACGAAGGTACATCCACCACGATGTTTATTGTCTCACTCAGTTGAGTGGTCCAGATTCGAGATGGATATCTCGGAGAAATGACGTTCCCTAAACATTAAAAAAAAAAAAAAACATAGCCGTAGTAATTTGTTATTGCCCAAGCCGATTCAATTTTAAGTTAAATTTTGAGATATTAGAGCATGTTCTGGGTGGTTTCACGATAACTGGAACAGTTTTGTGGCCGTAACAGACAACACATTTTCCGGTCATATTTTTAGTAGATATGATAACCACGCGAATTTTTTCGCATATTTTTTCGCATTAATCTTCAAAGGGTTGCGTATGATAACGCTTTATAATAATTCATTGTTCCACTTCTCAATTAAAATTATGTAAATTCCGAAAATACGCTGTCTATTACACGGTAAAAATTCAGCGTAACAAACAGCACATTTTCGGTCATTTATATATTAAAAATTGAAAAGTAGAGCGATAAATCCTTGAGAAGCGTTATAATACGTAACCCTGTGTAGATTAATGCAAATAAATTCGAGTGGTTATCATTACTAATAAAAATATGACCGAAAAATGTGTCGTTTGTTACGGCGACAAAACTATTCCAGTTATAGTGAAACCACCCTTCTACTTGAAATTTGAACTAGGGAACATCCACTACGAAGTTTGTGGTCCAGATTCGAGATGGGTATTTCGGAGAAAAGGACTTACCCTCGCAGATGATGGTCTGATGAGCTACACTCGTAATGAGAAAAGGCTGGTGACTGAAGGTGATGCTATGTATTTATAGTTGCGCAAGATCTGGACTCGCAGCCTCATTGTTATGCCGGGAAGTCGTTGATCGGTTTTAGGAAGGCACACCCCTCTGTTTACCCGCGAGGTGTCCTTCCACATCACCACATCATCCCCCGTTTCTGATGAATCATGCAAATTCGACTGGACTCCACCAGCTCAGCCTTGTTTTCCCCCTTCCTTAGAGTCGCCTTCAAATCGCCCGACCTCCATGAAACACCCGCAAAACAGCCGAGAACAGGGTGGCAATGTTTCATGAAAAATAAAATTTTGAAATTTCACGTGAAATATTTCATGAAATTTCTGAAATTTATGAAAGACATTGAATAATACCTACTGGTTCCTTTTCATGTTTCGCAAAGTGTGAAAATTGTGATTTTCTTCTATTTTTGTGTGTTTCAGTGCGAGTTGCATACTCTAGCCTCTGAAAAAGAGGAAATATTTCACAGCCTCGTGAAATTTTATGAAATATTTCACTGAAATTTCCGACCTCTCATTTCTCTCTTACGTTGCATGCCACCCTGGCCGAGAGAGTCTTCTCATAAAATATTTACGCAATACTTCGTGCCAAGGAAAAACGCCGCAGAAATATCTGAATGTTGCCAAACCTGCTTTTGTATTTTTTTTTTTTTTTTTTTTTTTTTTTTTTTTTTTTTTTTTTACGAAATCGATAAATATTTTTCTTTGAAATTTTCAGATACTTTAGATTAAAGTGCGAATGAAATTCTCTGAAAAATTGGGATGGAACTTTACTCAAGTTTCCCTGAAAATACGCATTTAATCAAAAGAGATTTAGCAACGCCTGAAGGCTCATACGGCTTTTCTCCTTAGCATGGCAGAATATTAGATCCAACATCTTCCAGTATCGTTTCAATATTGAGCCAGCGCTAAAAGGATAGCATTTATTAATCGTGGTAGCATTTCACTAATTTTATGTAAAATTTTGTTTTTATTTTTGAGATGCTTATTCGGTATCATCATGAGGTGTCCCGACGGGATATAGATTCAGTATCTTTTTTTAATTTTGCGAGGATTTTTTAAACATCTTATAATAAAGAAGTTTATTTACACTTTACATACACTTTACATAACAACATTCTTTTTTAATCGTGTTATTTGAATTCTGACTTAATATTAATAATTAATCAAACAAAATGAACACGACATGCGAAAAAAAGACTGAAATTGAAACAGCTAGAAGAAGTCAAGACGTTTCGCCTAAATCTTCAGGCAGCCTTGTACCTTTTATCTTTTTTGATTAAACATGCCAGGGAATTCAGGCGAATCTTCTAAACTTTTTCTGTTTCAATTTTACCCTTTTCCCCCCAGGTTGTGTTCGTAATGTTATATTATTTTGGGCTTCTTGAAATAACCTATAAATATTACTTATTAATACGATATTTCATGAAGAAACACTTGTATATGAAAATATTCGACCCTTCTTAAAACATATTTTATCTGAAAAAGTTGACAGCATTGTAATTATATTGGTCAATTACTCCGTCTTAACTGGATCCCCACTCAAAAGCAGGAGGCTCAATATAATATCTCTGATTATCGATGGTTTAGGTGATTCGTCCCGGATTCTGGAGTTGTCGAACTGGAGTGCGATGTATCGCATGGATCGTTAAAAAAATCTTGGCAACCATTGAATTTGTGGCCAAAGGAAGAACGATAGCCCCTGCGCATGAGCTTGAAGAAGCATTCTCCACCAGGAAAAATTGCAAAAGGTTAAGCAGGACCTTTTTGGAAAAAACCTTGTATTCGACACACGGTTGAGTATCATGTCAAATGCGAAGGTTTTCTCCCCAAAGAGAATACTGCTTTCATTCTCGAAAATTTTGCCAATTTTTTGGTCAAGCGACTCTTGACCAGCAGCACAGAGTGGAGAATTGCGAGTTAACAGCTCGCGCCATAACGCCTTCAATTTTGCGCACGCAACACGGACATCCGCAAAGTGCGAATAGTTGTATCTCTGCGCCGTATCGACGCAAGTACCATTCCTCGCTCTCAGTTTGTCTTTCTCATGGTAGTGGTTCGAGGGCTACGTGAGTAAGACAGCAAAAGATAGGAGACGCGTGCGTAATGTGTCCTCGTTTTTAGTGTATTTTCCGAAGGAAAGACACACCATTGCGTTCTCTCTCACGGAAGGACCTGGACCTGGGACCATGTAAAGAGCACTGATCTCGAGGCGTAGATCACGAATGTACACGCCATTCATTATCTGTTATAATTTATAAATAATAATTATTTTAGTCAACGTGAGATTTTTTAAGTTTGCATAGCCTTGTGTGCCAATTAATTTTTAAATTTCTTGAAACGAAACTTTCAGGGTTTGTGGTCCCCCTAAGAGTACATTTAAATTTTAAAATAAAAATCGGAATACGCGTTAATCGGTTTTCGTACCGCGAGGGGCCAAAGTGGGTGGAGGTTTAATTTTGTCCGCCTAATCACTCGAATAAGAATGAATATGTTGAGCTGAAATTTTGATGGTAGTTAGTTTCCTATCGAATTTCAGCAAAATCTGCCGACGAGTATTGTAGTGGTTGTCATTTACGGGATTTATTGGCGGAAGGAGGGGGGAGGTTCCGCGAAAACTCGAGTAAAAGTGAATGTTATGGAGTGAAACTAAATATGCACCCGAAATTTAATGGTGAAATATTTTTGTGAAATACACTCATGCTGCGGTAAATGCGCGGATCACACAAAAAACCGTCTCCCGTACTTGCCCGACTCGGCGGATTCCCCCAGCCCCGGCGACAGCCCCGTGGCAGGGTTTTTAACTTTTCTCCCGAATCGGAGCGATTTTTCAGTTGCAGCATGGAGTGGAGAATTATGAGAATTCACACCTAGCGCCATCGCGCCTTCAATTTTGCAAATGCAACACGAACATCCATAGAGCACGAATAGTGTTTGACGCATTTCTGTCAAACGGAACTATGTGCATTATGAAATGAGCCATGTTATTCATATATTCCCATGGGTCTAAGGGCTCATGTCTTAATGCATATAGTTCCATTTGATAGAAATACGTCCAGTTGTATCTCTGCCCCGTCATCGAGGCGCGTCTTTTCCCTTGCCCTGTTTTATATTGTGTTTGCTTCCATTTGCCTTCTTAAAAGTAATAATTATCATAATGACATACATTGATAAAACTACGCCCTCTCATGCTAATTCTTCCATCAGCATGATAACATGATAATTTTTCTAGCCGTTTTGATGTCTCTCTGTTATCAGACAGTATTATGATATCATACTTCACTTAACCAGCCAGTGTAATTTTGGTCCTTTTTGAAAACTCTAGTCAACATAGATCGGTATGCGAAAAACTTGTAAACGACGAATACTGCAAATGAGATGTCCCTTGTGCAGGTATAGATGCATCCTGGTGTAACATGGACGTATTTATGGTAGAAGTTACTGCGTTAGCACGTGCAAATGAATCGAATGATGAAGTATAAAGCGCACGCAAACCCTTAATTTGATTTCTTTTGTTTGTACTTGGTTCCTACTAGCATGAACACATATCAATCACGGACACAGTATTTCTCGTTTATCATGATTGTGCTTTTGGTATCCCTCAAAAATGAAGTTGGAGCGCCTAAAAATAGTTTACCTATGGCCAAAATGCGCGAAACCACGTATCTGTATCAGGGACGGATTTACCTACATGCCGCCCATGGGCCGCCTGTATTTTGCCGCCCCTTTCTTATTCGTTTTGAAACATTAATAAAAACTATCAAAAGAACGTGTCCGAGGGGGCGAGTTGCATAAGACGCGTTTACATGTGTTGGGCACATTTTTTGCGAAAGCCCTGTCATCACTACTAGCAGAAGTTCACGGAACTTTGCGCGAAAGTTAAGTTCTGTAAACCTATCTCTGTGTAAACAAGGCCTTCCATACATTAAAAAATGAACGAAAAAATTATGAAAGAACAAACATAAATGAGGTATACTAATATTAACTTCCGCCGCGCCGCGCTGACTGCTCTGTGTTTGGCGCAATGCGTGAAGTATTCCTACAGTCTTGTAGGCGCTATGCACTTCACGCCGACCGCCGCGCCGCTGAGCGCACTGTTTTTGACGCAATGCGTGAAGTATTCATGGAGTCTTGTAGACGCTAATATGTGTTACATGCCAAACGCCTCACCGAGGGAGTCTCCTTTTCATCTCAATTCCTCGTCATCAATGCTCTCTCCACCACGCCGCTCCAGGCCAAATTGCGTGTTTGGTTTCTCTCCTAACTCTCCTAATCAAGGTGCTGTCTCTTGTATCACTGAATGACGACAAAATTAGAAATTACTATACTCTCAGGAAATAATAGATTTTTTCGCCTTTTCTCGTTTGTAATTTTTTTATACCTACATTGAAAAAATTGCAAAATTTGCCACCCCCTAAATCCGATCCTGACCTGTATTTATAAAGTTTCTGACTTCTATTCATACTTTATTACTTTTATATTTTTATACTTTTTTACTTTTATACTTTTATACTTTTCAAGACTAGTCAGTGCGATTTTTGGAAAATTTCTTGATTTTTCTTCTTTGTTACCAGAATGTTCTGTATGGATTTCAAGTCTTATAGCTGGATTTGTTCTCTATGAAAAAATGAAACAGAGGCGAAAATTTAAAACACTGCGATGGAGTTACGAGGCTTTGCACTTGGTCATCAATATATCATCTTAATACCCGTACTTGTCTCTTAACATCTCTTTGAATAACAAGCCTTAGCATATTTTTTTGCCAGCAAGAGGTGTTGTTAATAAAATGATTAATATGCAGAGCAATTCGTCTAAGAAGAAAAAAAAACGCTGAGATCGAGAAAGCACAACGGCTCAAATTCAACCCATATTCGCTTTGATTCTAGAAGAAACACCACTTTATATGGCTTAAAGAGGAATCATGCTTAAGAATTGAAAACGTTGTCTGTCGAGTGAAATTAAAAAAATAATGCCTTCGAATTTAGTATTTAATATATTAATGACTGAAGCTTGCCATAGATGGATGCTTTCTTTGCGTGAGGTGTTGCATTCCCATAAATACCTTTAATTACTACTTTTTCTACGTGTTTTTAAGTACCTGAAAGTAAAGGATAAGATTTCTATTTAGAATGAAAATGGGAACAAATTTCTCAAAATATATGATTTATATGCAAATTTCACATGAAAAGCATAAAGTACAAGCGTACAAAAAATCAAATAAATATATGGTACAATCGTATTCAAATATCACAAGTCTGATCAAAAGCAACAGGCTACGTTTTAGTTTATAAAATAATGAGTTAAGTGTGCAACAAGCCATTGTATTGCAACGTTCCAAATATCGTATTAATTTTTAGTTTAACAGGAAAATTTTTAGACATAACGTAATCCTTAAAAAAGTCTCACAGTTTTCTATCTTTAAAACAATTCATGGAACATTTTCCGAGGTACAATTCCTTAGTTTTCTCGGTTAATTTAATGACATTATAAGTAATTATCCCATTGATATTCAATTTAATTCGCAATCAATTTGCTATAAATTTGAAAACACAATTTTTTCGATGCACAATTGATTGTTTCTTCCTTCGATGATTAACTTTCGCGTATGAATTTTTCAAATGAAAATTTCAACAGCGATCTACTAAAGCCCGCAACGGCAAGTAAATTCATATATTTATTTTTCTTGCTCAATAATTATTAATTATTTACATTTTTTGCTTCTTTAATATTGTTTTTGCTTTAATCGTTTTTAAAAGTAGAGCTTTCTCAATGTGATTTCTTAGCTTTTCATTTTTGCTTTGTTGCAATTTGTCGCGGTTTCATTGGTATTAGCGTGAAAAAACGGAATATTTCCGCAAATACTACCGGTTTTCTTCATGAGAAGTTTTCATGATTGTATGAATAAAAAAAATTTACTTCAAATTTTACCCTCAAATTCTCAGCATCATAAAATGTGTTCGAATAATCTTAGTGGAAAGTACCGCAGTACGATCGCAAGTGGTCCTCAGTGCATGGTTTTAAGCAGCATTCCTCGACAATTTGTCTGCGAGGTCTTCTGAAGTTGTCATCGGTAGCAGCAGAAAGCATCTCAGTTTCGCTCACGACGGGAAATTCGTTTGAAGACAATTGGCTCGACAATGCTCCTGGATAATCCAAGTCTCTCGAAACCATTGATAAATCGGAAGCGTCGTGGTATTCTGATGAAAGAAAAGAGAACAAATTGAAAATGAAGAGTATTAAGTTGAATGGTATTTTATTCACATTGCATCAACGCAAGAGAAAATAGACGGTGAAACTGTATACCAAAACACGAGTTCGATTGTGGTGTTTCGAAGTGTTTGCTCCTACTTGAACATTTTCGCACAAAAATTCTCGTTGAAATAACGATGATTAGTCATCATGGAACGTTGTAAAGTGCGGCAGGAAATTTTCAACGTCACAAATCGAGATATGCGGTTTTGTGGTTCTGTCATCGAAATGAAAAAAATCAGTTGCGCATCATGTAGAATCCTGTTTTTCTGGTTAATTCTCATGATATTTATTGTTTTGAAATCCCGCTGACGGCTGACTGCTTCTCATATACCTACATATTGAAGCCTCCCGCTTTCTTTCACCCTCAACATTTTTTACAAAACCTCTTGTAAAGTTTTAGTCAATTTTGCTCTCGAAAACTATCTTATGAATTGGGTTCATTTATGTTTTTAAGTTAGAAATCTTGATTTTTGGGATGTCAAGCCTGTGGGTTTTTTGGCAGCGCTGGCTTCCTTCATTTTCTTTTTTATTAATTTTTTCTATTTTTTTGTCGGGTTACTACTTTGCCAAGTCAGCGAGGGAATTCAATGAGAAAATTCTTTAGCGAGATGCAAAAAAGTGCAAACTTCAAAGTGAAACCGGAGGTACTCGGTAAAATCAGCAACTTCCGAAAACTAAACCTTGAGCCAATATAATCAGAAGCGCAAAATATATAGCTCGAAATTTCTACGGAATACTCTGCTAATAAAGAAGGAAAATTGAGGAGCAAATCAATTAAATATATATATTTTTTCATTAAATTAAGGGGACATTTAATAAGTTAGACTAGTTTTCCAATGAAAAAATGAAGGACGACAGGAAGCTTGCAACGTCGTAAACGGAGATGCTTGGTTTCGCACTTCCATCATCGATATGTACTACATCGCAACAAATGGGGATCATTGTGGGTGAATGAATGCCTGATTTAATAGTTTTTAAACTGGTAATATTTAATAGCGGATGCTGTCACACAGGGAGGTAAAAAAAAATTGAAAAAAACTCGTTTTCGAGAAGAAAATAATGAATTGAAATCATTTCGGAGAAAGAGATTGTCATAAAGAAGGCATGGATTTTGACACCATGTTAGAATTTAGAGTTCGACACTAAAATAGCTGAGAGTTTGTGGGAGAGCAATGATTGTGGGAGAGCAAGAACTGAAGTCGAAGATTTAAGATGCACCAATAATTTGTATTAACGAACTTTGAATAAAACACAATTTTACAATTGATTCACACAGCGTAAAGTATGGGTCTAAATAAGAGATGTTAAGAGGTGTCCCGAAGAGGTAGATGTAGAGAGACAGACCTCGGGCACGGAGAGATAGACCTCGGTGTTAAGAGACAGACCAAGATTTTAGGGCAGCACAAGCTTTTATAGACTTGCTGACGTCACAGGTGGTGAGACAACAAGTCTACACGCCATTGGCTGGCTATAATCAGTGGAGCTATCAGTTGCAAGTCTGGTAATTAGAATAATGGGACATTATACGAGATGACTGGGAGATTGGATTGAAAAAAATAGAGAAAATGAACAAATCCAGCCATCTGAGATGAATTGGAGAAATATTAAAGAAAATTTAGAAGTTTAAAAAAAAGGCAAGTTGCAGGGATTTGGATACCTGTGACATCCCCCGGCTGAAAGAAAGTGCGACCTCGCACGAAAAGAAAAAAAAAAAAAAAAAAAAAAAAAAAAAAAAA